ATATATATATATATATATGAAAGTGTAAGCAAGATGTTGATTTTGACCATCTCCCCAACCTTCCGAGCGGGACGGCCACAGGCGGCTGGACCAGTGCATGCAGAAGCTGGCACCCGACGCTCCTCAAGGCCTGACCAAAGTTGCACGACCATGCCAGGCCATATTGGAGCATGCTGATTTGAAAATGCATTCAGTCTATGTGAAACAACAGCCCATTCTAGACATGTGTTACAATGTATTTTGCCAAGCCCTGTTGTGTTGCAGCCTCTTGTCTCAGTTCTTAGCACGCATTGAAAGAGGGTGTTTCGCTTGCACTGGACATAATATTTTGGTTGCATAAGTCTGCGCGAAGCTCGGTAGTGTTGTCGCAGCTTGCGTAGTCCAAGACATCCCTGAGTTCATCGGTGGTGAGGCGTTGGTAGAAGATTTAGCCAAAAAAGTAAACCTTTGGCACACCCTCACGGAGCGTTAAAATACAGCTGTCGATGACATCAGGGTAAGGGCCTGGGCAGTGACCGGAGTGCAGGCTTCGACGCGCGCGTGGGGCAGCTGGAGAGGAGCCTTCCCAAGCTGGAGCTCCCTGGTTGAAACAGATTGAAATGCTCATGGTTAGTTGAGTTTACCTGTGCACAACATGTATGTATGTATATATATATATATTATACATCCCTTCATAGTTTCATTCTGGTGCCCCTTCAGGCTGCAGCTGGGCGAGCTTCTCGGGGCGACGGCAGGTGCGAAAGAGGCGGTTTCGGCACAGGCTCGTCAACTGAGCTGCGTGGAGGAGCGGCTGGCGAGCCAACTCGAGGCAGTCCAGGCCAGTGTGCAGGTGTATCAGAGCAAGATGGGAGCCTTGGAGGATGCCTTGGAGACTTCCATGAATACAATCAGGGGCCTGACAAAGCATCAGGCCCTCTTGGCCAAACTGGCTTCCGAGGCCTCTGAGGAGCCGCCTATGTCAAGCCACCAAGCTCAGATGCAGGAGTTGGCCCTTGATTTGGCCAGTCGAGTCACTCACTTGGAGAGGATGGATCGGACACTTCGTGCGGGTGCCATGGAGGATGCCTCCCTTGCGGAAGACGCACAGATGAGACTGCAGCTGCAGGAGCTGCAGGCTTCAAGCCAGAGGCTGCACAAAGAGATGCTGGATGTGGTGGCAAGAATTGAGGAGCACTCAGTGCACCTGTCATCCTGCAGGAGCAGGATGGAGGCGCTGGAAGATCAGCACCCTGGACCGGCCATGAAGACATCCTAGCACAACAAAACATGGTGAGGGTAATGTTGTCCTTCTCTCACACGTGCTCGCCTACGGCTGTGCAAAAGATGCTGGGGGGGAAAGAAGATAGGATGAGGTGGCTTTGTGCAGGGTCGAGAAGCAAAAGATGCTAAGCTGGTTGCTTCAGGGCCCTCAAACCCCGCCCGATCCCTCCCTGTCCTATACACTGAATCGCCCTGAATGGATGCCAAGGTCATCATGTCATCGCAGCAGAGGGAGATGCAGCAGCAACTGCAGCAGCAGAGACTTGGGTGGCAAACCTGCTCGGAGACATCAAGGCCCTGAGGTGAAGCGGTGGATGTGTCATGGTTTCTGTAAAGGACAGGCTTGACATAGAAGCCGGAAGCGCTGCCAATAAGAATGATACAAATCCTTCGGGTTCCTTGTTGTTATACTACTATAACCTACCCCCCCATCTCAAACAAGCCATCACAGTTTAATATTTCAGGCCCCTGTATATTCGGCACTGGAGAGACCCGAGGATGGCAATGATGCAGCAGATGGCCATGCAGCAACAGATGGGCGGCATGCCGCTCCTTGGAACGTGATCACGGGCAGTTCTCTAAATTAGGGTCCCCTTTTTTGGGGACCCGGCAAAAAATACGGCACCTTAGAAAAGGGACGGATCGCGATTTAGAGAACTACCACCCGAGACCCTGAAGTCTCAGTAGTTTCCTAAACTCTCTGTCAACTGCCAGAGCCAAAGACCCACATCCGAAACCACCCACGGCTGCCGAGGAACCCTCAGATGCAGGGGCAGGGCTATCAAGGGCAGCCAGGGCCACGTGCCTGCATGTTTGCTCTCTTTCGAAGTTGGGAGGGCCAGTGCAGCGAAAGGAGTGACTCAGGTAGTGCTGTGCGTAGTGGAGAGCTTCGTAGCTCAGAGTCTTCGCAGCTCAGTCATGAGCCCGCCCCGAGGACATCGCAGATGCAGCAGATGCAGCAGATGCAGAGTCAGCTGCAGAATCTCTGCGCCGACCAGTCTCTTTGTGTCTCCTTCAGGCGGCTTTTTTGGCGTCACTTTTGTTTGGTGCGATGTGAATGCCAGCACATTTCGAATTGAGGATGGCTGCAATGATGCAGCAGATGGCCGCCATGCAGCAGATGGGAGGTGGCATGCCGGAGCCTCGGAGCTTGTTCAGGATCACGGCGGAGTACTTGGAGGTTCATGGGTA